AGGTTTCTTTGGGCAAAGCAAAACAATTCAAATGATCATAGTCCCTCGATGACGCTTTCGAAAGTTACCTAAAAATGATCAAGTCCCTTAAAGGAAAAATTGCCCAAAGATACTTGGCACCATTGCCATCATGGTCTAAACGATGACCCGCGCCCGTCCCGTTAACATCCTAACACAAGATTGTCCACCAAATACAATGGTGGAACAAAATTGTTAAAAGGGTTAAAACATAGCAAAGATCTTTGAGAACTTTAGGGTAGATAGCTCTTGAGTACTTGTCAACTTGCAAAAACGCTTGCCTACTTTTCAAACCCACATATCACTACACTTTCAAAATAACTTTCAAAAAACCTTGAAACATCTTTTCAAAAAGACAAACACCTTTTGTAAAACATTCGAGTAAAGAATTGTTACAAGGGTTGCCTAGACAAGGCATCTTTTTCAAAACATTTTCAAAACCACGCACAAAGCACCATTTCAAACAATTGAAAACCAAGGCAAGTTGATCTAAGCAAGTAACTAAGAGCCCATGGATAACCATGGATAGAAAGGGTGCTAATACCTTCCCTTTCTATAATCTACTCCCCGAACCCAAGAAAACATCGCAAAGGTTTTTGCTGTGCTTTTTAACCTTTCCTTAGGATAAAATAAAAAGTCGGTGGCGACTCTTGCTCAACCGAAACATTTGCGAAAACAAAACGCAAAACCCTAGTCAGTTCTCCCACCGTATCACACACTCTCTTCGTCATGATATCTGTAATCTGATTCTCAGTTCTACAGTGTTCCAAATTCATCTTCCCATTTGATACCTGCTCTCGAAGATAATAGAACCTCATTTTGATGTGCTTACTTCGACCATGTGCTATTGGGTTCTTTTCCTGATTAATAGATGACATGCTGTCGATCTTCGTGGTAATTGCTCCATGATATTTCCCTGTTATCGCTTCAACCAAGTTCACCATCCGAGTTTCTTGACATGCACAAAGAGAAGCAGCTATGTATTCTGCTTCGCATGATGATAATGCCACTACTGGTTCCTTTCATGAATTCCAAGCAACTTGTGCACCACCTAGCATAAACACATATCCTGCTGTTGACTTTCGATCTTCAGCATTACTACACTAACTCGAATTAGTGTATCCCACTAACTTGCATTCTTTTCTTTTATCAGCTGCAAGAAACAAAATGCCATAATCGAAAGTTACTTTGAGATACCTTAGTATCCTCTTCACTAATGCTAGATGTGATACCTTTGGATTTTGCATGAATCTACTCACCATACCTACATTGTATGCTAAGTCAGGCCTTGTGTGACAAAGGTATCTCAATGATCCAATAAGTCTTCTGTATTGGGTTGGATCAACATCATCTTCATCTGCATATTTCGACAGTTGCAGCCTTGGTTCTGTAGGTGTCGAAGTTGAGTTGCATTCTTCCATCTCAAACCTCTTGGGAATTTCTCCTGCATATCTTCTTTGATGCATCATTAAACCTCTACTTCTCTTGTAGAATTTGATAGGCTTCACCTCTTCGTTCATTGCTTTCACCCACTTCGAATCCTTCAATGCTTCAGCTGCATTAACAAGTTCGACATCTGCATAGAAAGCATAATGTACCAGCTCACCTTCATTATCTATTACATCATCTAATGTAATCACACAATCTTGCAATCTTGCAGGCATGCGTCTTGTTCTTTGAGGTATGCTTGTACTTGTTATATCTGCTGGTTCCTCTTGTCGAACTTCTCTTTCGACTTGAGTTTCTGGATCTTCAAGAAGGATTCCCACTGAATCTTTCTTGACATTATCAGCCCAATCTCATTCTTTAAACTCATCTATGATCACGTCCCTACTGATCACAATCTGCTTTTTCACTGGATCGAACAACTTGTAGCCTCCTGTTGAATGATATCCAACTAGAATCATTTGACTTGACTTGTCATCAAGTTTTCTTCTCAACTGATCTGACACATGTCTATGTGCAATAGATCCAAATACCTTCAGATAACTCAAGCTAGGCTTCAAACCAGACCAACATTTTTATGGAGTAATTCCTTCTAGCTTCTTTGTAGGACATCTGTTCAAAATGTATGTTGTAGTCGAAACAGCTTCACCCCAAAACTCTTTAGGTAAATTATTTCCTTTCAACATACTTCGTATCATATTCATGATGGTTCGATTCTTCCTTTCTTCAATTCCATTTTGTTGTGGGTGGCACCACCTCATGCACAATCCCTTCCTTTTCACATAGTCTGTCGAAGTCTTTCGACGCATATTTTCCACCACTATTAGTTCTCAAAACTTTGAGCTTTCGACCACTTTGTCTTTCGACCATAGACTTAAACTTGGAAAATACTTAGATCACTTCACTTTTCTTCTTGATCAGGTAAGTCCATAGCTTTCGACTGAAATCATTTATGAATGTAACAAAGTATTTGTTACCTCCCATCGAATCCACCTGGATTGGTCCACACACATCAGAGTATATGACTTCAAGACTAGCCTTCGACCTGCTTCCTGCATCCTTGCTGAAGCTATTCTTGTGTTGCTTCGCATGCACACATTCCTCACATACCTTGTTTGGAATGTCGATTTCTTGCAATCCTGAAACCATATTTCTTCTCTTCAAATCTATGATGTCTCTGAAGTTGAGATGGCCTAGTCTATAATGCCATATCCATTCATCTCTGCTAGCTGCAGTCGAAAGGCACTTATGCTCCATCACATTTAGTTCAATCTTGAAGGTTCGATTCTGAGACATAGGAGCCTTCAAGATTAATCCCCCATTTGCATCAACGACTCTCATCATCTTATCTTCGATTGACACTTTATAATTCTTTTCGACCAACTGCCCTATACTGAGAAAATTGCTCTTCATGTCTGGTATGTACAACACATTGGAAATTACTGACCTCTTGCCATCTTTCCTCATAATCATAACATCACCAATACCTTCAGCTGCTAGGGTATTGTCATTTGAAAATTTTACCATATTTTTCATTGAAGGCTTTATATTGACAAACCAGTCTTTCCTTCTAGACATATGTGATGAGCATCCTGAGTCCAAGTACCATTGGTCCTTGAATCTATCTCATCTTTTGTTGTGACCATCAGCATCATCTCTTCTTCTTCTTCTTCATGTTTTACAAGCTTTGCATCACTTTCTTGATTCTTTTTTTTCTGGACAATCACTCGAATAATGTCCATACTTCTGACAATTGTAACATTGAATGTGACTCTTATCAGGTTTTCGACTACTACCCCCCCCCCCCTCTATTTGCAACACCACCTCTTTGGTTGCCTTGGTATGATTTTCTTTGATTCGACACGTTTCCTTCGATCTGGTTTCCTCTACCATTCGATTTGTTGTAGCCACCTCTACCTCTGTTGAAACACTTTCCTTTGCCTTTGGTCTCTTTTGTTGACTTGCCTGCAGGGCCATATCACTCTTTGATTTGTCTGCAGCTCTTTCAATCATTCTTTGTTCATGAGATTCAAGTGTCTCTTGAAGCTCTTCCTTTGTCAATTTCGACATGTCTTTCCCCTCTTCTATCTCCACCACTATGTGGTCGAAATTAGGAGCTAAAGATCTCAAGATCTTCGAAACAACAGCTCTTGTTGTTAACGTTTCTCCACATATCTTGATTTGATTTACTAGTTTTGTAACTCTAGTGAAGATATCAGATATGCTTTCACTGTCTTCCATCTGAAGCAGTTCATATGTCCTTTTGTGAGTTTGTAACCTCACTTCTTTCACCTTCTCAGCGCCTCCAAAAGACTTCTCAAGGATTTCCCAAGCTTCTTTTGCAGATTCTGAATCACTAACCTTTTCGAAATTGTCTGGGCTGACACATTGATGAATTATAAATAATGCTTTATAACTCAGCTTCTCAGATTCTGTGTATTTCTTCTTTTCTTCTTCTGAAGCATTTTCTCCAAGCGCTTCGACTCCATATTTTACAAGGTCCCAAAGACCTTGACACCTGAATAAGACTTTCATCTGTTTGCACCAATTTTCATAGTTGTCAACTTTCTGAATTGGTAGGGCTGCTGGATAGTTTGCATTCCCATAACTTGTCATCGTGAATTCTTAAATTGTTCTTGATCGATACTTCCCTTGAATCGATTAACCGAGCTCTTGATACCAGATGTTGGAAATCCATCAAAGTCTATGATAAATTTCTACCACAATGACAATTTAATTATGAGACAAACAAAGAAAAGAAGACAAGACAAATAATTTCTGCAGAGTTTCTCTCTGCTCACAAACTGTGAAAACTTTCTTATTCACTTTGCAACTGCAAATTACTGTGAATGACTTGTTTGACTTGCTTACAAAAAGAGGGGTTACTCCCTCTATTTATAACTGAGCTTACACCCTAAGTCCAAAGCCCAAAATATCTATTTTGTTACTAAATCAAATCTAATATATTCTAGACTTAAATCAAATCTATTTAAATCTAAAACAAATCAAATCTTTTCGACACATAATTTCGACACACTGAATTACAATTTAACAAACCGGACCAAAATCACCTCTGATTTTCAATCTAACCAGTTGAGCCGAACAATTCGATCCGATTTTTACAATATTAATTTCATCCTTACTATAACTCCGTAAAAATAACCAAAATAAAATTTATTATTTGAGATAAAGAAGAATCACACTCCAAAATTGAGTGATTTACTCCAATGAACATTAGATCCAAATAAAACAAAACTAAAAAAACTCTTATTTGAGATAAGGAGCGATCACTTTAAAAAATTGGGTGAAAAACTCCAATGAACATTATGGCAAAATGAAAAACTAAAAACTAAAAGACATCAAGAAAAACATCACATTGTTAAATAACTCAAGTGGTGTTAATTCTCTCCTTGCCTATTTATTTCATAAGTCATGGTAACATTGTTCTAAAGCACAAACAAACCATGTCTCTTTTATTCTTCTCTCAACAAAAAAATACTCCAAAAAAATGCAATGAACAAACTATAAGTTGTTCATCAAAGTTGTTGTTGTTGATGATGAAAAGTCTTTGTCATGTCACCACCAAAATCATTATTCTCTTCCTCAACAATAGTATCCAAAATTTTCTTCATTGGAATGCGTGTCACAGGCACAAACCTCGGTGGAGCAACCTCTGTGGTGATTAATCTAGCAATTTGCTTCAACTTGTTGGCCATTTCATAAAATTCAAGTGTTTTGGAGATAAACATGTGGTGAGCACGTGAAGAAAAACTAGACATAAAGAAAAAGAAGAGTAAGTGGTGTGTATATGCTCCTATAATAGAGAAGAGAGATAGATTATATATAGTGGTGATGAATTTGAAGTGAAGTGAAATGATGTTATCTAAAAGAATCTGCACCGTATGTATTGGATAGATATAAAATGTTAGGCTTGACAAAAAAATAATCATATTAACTTTTGATATTTGATATTTTAAAATGTACAAATTTTTGATTTTGTAGTGAAATAAATTAATTTTGAATTAAATTAATTTTATGAAGTTTTTTTTAAAGTGAATTGAATATTAAATAATTTATGTATAAATAATTTTATAAAGATTACTTTTAAGTACAAATTTTAACTTAAGTAAAATTAATTATAAAGACATAATTAATTATATTTAGAAGACTAAACACCTCAAAATAATTTTAAAATAAATTTTATACTTTTAAAATTATTTTTAACATTTTCAAAAGTTAAAACACTTAACAATTTGGTATTAGGAAGGATAAGTTCGTTCATTACCTCCTGATAAATTGAAAATAATTAATTTAAAATGACATGACACCAAAAATATTTAAAGTGATAGGTGAGTGAGTTCTTCCATTTATATATGTTTAAATCTCCACATTCATATTCAATTTCAGATTATTTCATCATTTATTCATATTTATTATATTATTCTTACATTGTATGTTGAAGCTCCTAAAAATTTCCCTAACACTCAATTGATTGCTTTTTACTTAATATGAATGTTAGCTTCATAATCCATTGTTGAAAAACATTAAAAAGTCAAATCTTTTCGCAAACAAAAGTACTCCACAAAATAATTTATCGTGAAATTTCAACAAAAATATTTCATTATTTATCTTATAATTTTGTAAGGCCAAAATTATACACTCTCAATACAACTATAATTTTTCAAGAAAGAGTGTACAAACCATCTAAATTATTATACTTTTGAACGTTAAGATCGAAAATTATCTCAACTATAATTTTCGAACATATATTCATTCGGTTAATTATAACTTCTAAACGAGAAATTTATAAATTATATTAATTATAATTTTTAAACTAAAAAACTAAAAACATTATCAGTTATAATTTTTAGACTGAAACATTATAAACTCTCTCATAAAACCTCTCATGACAACTAAAAGATCTAAGTTTCAAATTTAAAAAACTAATATAATCTTCTTAATAAACATTTTGAAGGACACAATTTAAACATAGAAATTGTCGGTATATAACAAGATTCGAATTTAAAATTTTGTTTCAGGAATTAAATCTTTACCATATGTACCTGAAAAGCGTTTTTGTTCTTATTTTGATTTGAAGAAAATTTTATTTCATTTTCATAAAAATTAAAATTATTGAACATAAGGTCTATATAACATTCATTCTTAGTGTATATTATTACTCCCTCCTTTTTAAAAGTTAATTTCTCATTTTTTTTATTATATTTAAAATAAATAATAGCATAATTAATTTGTACATTTTGAGTATAGATAATATTAAATTTATTATTTTTGTATAGAAATTTATTATTTTTACTTTTATTGTTTGAAAACTTTTAATAATAAAAGAAATTTAGAGTTAATTTGTTTTTTTCCAAAAGTACAAGATTGGAAAAAAAGAGTGTGGCGTCCAGTATGAGTTGTTATTACTTATAAGCTGTACTGAATGGTAGCTTCCAATGGTGGCTACAAATACAATGTATGGCCTTATTAGCATCCTCAAAATTTACAACACTTAGTGTGGGTTTGATAATGCTTTAAAATATTAATTAATTTTAAATAAATTGATTTTTTTAAAATTAATTTAGATTAAAAAGAGTTGAAAATTAATGAATTTAATAAGTTTAAAAAAACTGAATTAAAAAGATATTATTTGGATGGAAAAACAGAAAAAGTCGTTTGATTTGATAAAGTTTGTTTTGTCTTTATTTCACTATACTTTTTTCTTTCTTTAAGACTTCTGTATGTATCATTTCTACTCTTGAATATTTGTTTAATACTTTATTTTGGGGAGGTAGGGAGGATATGAGGAAAATGACGTGGATTGATTGAAATTTTATTTGCTTGAGTAAGGGGAATGGAGGATTGGATGTGAAAAGGTTGAAGAAGTTTAATGTGGCTTTATTGGGGAAATGTTGGAGGATGTTGGAGGAGAGGGGGAGCCTTTGGTTTAGGGCGTTAGCTCAGTGTTATGGAGAGGAAGAAGGGAGGTTGAGGTATGAGAGTGTTGAAGGGTCTATGTGGTGGCAGACAGTGAATATGATTAGGCAAGGGGTTAGGATGGTCGATAGAGGGTGGTTGCTAAATAATATTGAGTGTGTTGTTGATAATGGGATAAACTCATTGTTCTGGAAGGATCCTTGGTTGGAAGGAGAGACGTTGATAAAACGTTTTAGTAGGCTTTTCGAGTTATCGGTGGATAAGGAAGTGTCAGTAGCATAAATGTATTCCTTAGGATGGGGGTGGATGAAGAGGCGTGGAAATAGCATAGGAGGTTGTTTGCGTTGGAGGAAGAGATGGTGGAGGAGTGTATTTTGTTGTTGGATTCTGTGGTTTTGCAGGTTAATGTTGATGATTGGTCGGTGTGGAGATTACATGCTTCAATTTGTTATAATGTGAGAAACGTATATCACTTCTTGACAAAGAGCATGAATGATCATCTTATTCATGACTCTCAGGTTTGGTGGATAAAGGCAAGGGGTTGGGGTGGTAGATAGAGGGTGTCGTTGAGGTTAATCTACTTGTTTGGCGGTTATTTCGTAATAGACTTCCGATGAAAGACAACTTGGTTAGAAGACATATCATTAGTGCAAAGGAACAAAAGTTATCCATCGTTATGTTGTATAAGTGAGAATCAGAATCACATGTTTATTCGTTGTGAATATTATAGTAAATTCTGGTTATTATTGTCTGGGTGGTTAGGATGCTCCTACGTGGTACTCGAGCACAAACTGTACCGCAGGGGTTTCTCCATCCTCCTCCTAAAATGCATAGGCGAATCCACAGTCCCCGAGGTACTGCGGGAGATACACGAAGGGATCAATGCCCAGCACATGGGCGGTAAGTCCTTGGCGAGGAAAGCCCTTCGAGCAGGATATTACTGGCCGACGATGCAGAAGGATGCCAAGGAGCACGTTAAGAAATGCGACAAGTGCCAGAAACACGGCGACATGCACCTCGCCCCGCCTCACGAGCTGAGCATACTATCGTCCCCATGGCCATTCGCGTGGTGGGGAATGGATATCCTCGGACCCTTCGTGCAAGGGACTTACCAAAATAAGTTCCTAATCGTGGCGGTCGATTACTTCACGAAGTGGATCGAGGCCGAGGCCCTTGCGAAGATCACCTCGCACAATATCCTCCGTTTCTACAAAAGAAACATCCACTCCAGATTTGGGATTCCGAGTGCACTGGTGACCGACAACGGCACCCAATTCACCGACCACGGATTCCAAGACTTCGTCACCAAACTAGGGACAAAACAACACTTTACTTCGGTCGAGCACCCTCAAACCAACGGGCAGGCCGAGGCCGCGAACAGGGTCATCCTCTGGGGACTCAAACGCCGACTCGGCGAAGCGAAAAGGGGATGGGTCGAGGAGCTCCACAGCGTCTTGTGGGCTTACTGCACCACGCCCCACTCAACGACGGGCGAGACCCCATTCCGACTAATATACGGGACTGAGGCCGTCATCCCGGTCGAAATCATGGAACCATCCAGACGGACCGAGAGCCCCCTCGACGAAGAAATGAACGACGAGGCACTAAGGGACGAACTCGACTTAGTTGAGGAAATCCGATCTGGGGCAGCCCTGCGCAAAGCCACCCTAAAACAACGAGTGGCTCTACGCCACAATGATAAGGTCATCAAGCGCGAGTTCGAAATCGGCAGCCTGGTATTACGAAGGAACCAGAAGGATTCCCGCAAAGGGAAGCTGACCGCGAACTGGGAAGGACCTTATCGCGTCCACGACACCACTGGTACCGGGGCGTACTATCTCGAGCAATTAGACGGAGAGCCATTACCACGACCCTGGAACGCTGCTAAGCTAAAGCATTACTATAGTTAAAAACTACCAACGACACCTAGGACCCTCGACTGTCGGCACCCGCGCTCGGTCAACGAGGAAAAAACATCCGACTCCGTAGAGAGGCTGAGGTACAAGCCCGACCTACGGCTAAATCGCACAACATCGCTCAGCAAACGAGACCAATCGATAGTGCCCGACATGGACAACTACACCGAGCTCCACCGTCGTAGTACCTGCAAGGCAGAACACCCAGCTCGCAATGGGCAGTTCACACCAAGGGCAAATAGTCCCTACCGGGCCTCGCGCCCGACTGAGCGACTCTGCTCCATCTGCCCGACAAATCTTCAAGAATGACGGGCCATCTATAAGGGTCAAAAAGGAGTCTCTCCCCTCGAGTGCACCACTTAGGTGACTCTGGCCATCGAGAAAAGGCCGGGCACATATACAAACAAAAGGCGGGCAAATTCGCCAGCTAAGTCACAACCACTTACGGGCACTCCTCGGGCCCATAACTTAGGCTAACTTTTGTGCAAAAATATAAAAATCAAGCACGGGCAAACAATCAAAATTGAAACAGCATTCATTTAAAAAACGCCCGAAGGCAACAAAGCAAATAAGTATAAACCGACCAAGAAGGCCGGCAATGTTCATGAAGTACAACCAACGGGCACGCAGGCCCAAAAAAAAATACGAACAGGCACGCAGGCCCATCATCTTACAATCCAGTTTCCCCGGAACCATCATCACCGACAACGGGAGAGTCGGGCGGGGGCATGATCGCGCCATCCACGATCTGAGACATGTAGCTCGTCCCTTCAGTGATCAAACTGGGATTCAGCAAGGAAAGCTGGCTGACCGCGGAGTCGAACCCCTCCTCCATAGCGGCGACACAATCCGCTTCGAGGAGCCGGATATGGGCGACCAGCTCCGATCGACTCCTCAAAGCGGCTATATCCTCCCGCTCGTCCTCG